CTCTGTCTCTCTCTCTCTCTCTGTCTCTCTCTCTCTCTCTCTGTCTCTCGCTCTCTCTCTCTCTCTGTCTCTCTGTCTCTCTCTCTCTCTTTCTCTAGTCTCTTTCTTTCTCCCTCCTGCCCTCTCTTTCTCTCTCTGCTCACAAACAATTGTTTGATTTCAACTCAGCACTGGAACGTCTGCGTATGCACTTATCACGGGCCGTCACATGCTAAGACAAGGATGCGTCCAAGTCTCGCTTGGACGCGAGATAGGGCAATTGAAACATCTTGGTAGTAGAGAATCGTTGATATCATCACAACGTTGCATTTCTATTTTCAGTAACTTTGTCACCGGCTTTCCGATGAATAATAAAAAGGGTGATAGATCTAGTCAACTTGCGAGGGAAGCCCCGGAGAAAGTTGCTTTTGAAAATAGCAAAAGTTTCAAGAAAAATTAACAAAAGTTGCGCGGGCAAGTTGTGAGTAGCGGGCGCGAATTCCTCAGAGGAAGGAAAAATAGATGGCAAAAATACGTCATCTATATTTGAGCCAATCACAAAGGTGTACTAGGAACTCTTTAAAGCTTCATATCGCTCGGAAAGCCGCGAGGCCGTGTTACGCTACCGAGTACTAGATCTAGGTGACCGGCTCTGGATGGGCTGAAAAATGCTAGCCACCACAAGTCGCAGAAATCCCCACAGGCCAATAGCATCTGGCTTATCGACGGAATTTGTTCAAATAGCGAATAATGGTCTTTAATACAAGATTCAAGATGCATTTGACAATACGATCCGTTAATTTTAAGTTCCCTGGACACGCATTTCCATGGGGTCTGAACAGTTCAAGATTTTTTTTCGGAGTCAGGTGACACCTCTAACAACATCCATATATATGAAATTTGGTGTTCTCGTTATATTATTTTCTTTTCGAATTTATTATTTTTCTTACTTGTAAATGCTTCTTTCTCCCGTTGGAAGAGCAGGAATCACTTGTTTACTCTCTTTACATTTTGTTTGTTTAAAGAATTTGCTTAGTCTCTGAAATTTATTTTGAATATTGTCTTGTCCAATTATATAAGTTTTTTTATTTGTTTACTCTCAGGTTACTATGATACAGTGGGTGTCGCATTCAACGAGGTTGCCGGGACCGGCTTGTTGTCCTCGTTGGATCCGACCTCTCGTTGAACGTGACAAAGGCTAAAGTAAAGAAAAAAGACATGTTATTATATTATAGGATGTACCAATACCAGTAATTAAAACAGTTGTTCCCCCTGATGACGAAAATCTCAAACAGCATCAGTGTGTGCGTGTTTGAGCTGTGTTCTGACCGTCATTTCTGCATTTTAAAATATTTTTTTTTCCGGAACACTTTTCGTGTGGAAACATACCCTCTCACATCTAGGCCTAGATATCTACTTAAAGTAAAGGCGGGAGCTTGGATCTTCTTTTCAGGAGAAGAAAAGAAAATTGAACAAAAATGAAGGTCTCGATCTAGACCTACTCATCCAGAGTTCATCCAGTTTAACATTAACACAACCCGCATCGAGTTCCCACCCACCCCCTCCCATCCCTACCGTAGCCTAACCCTCGCCCATCCTCTTGGCTTTGGGGCCCATATTAGGAGGCACATTAGATCTAGCAATACAATGTTTTAGGAATGATGATGGGCCTTGTGCTTCGCGTGAGGAGAGAAAGGAGAAAAATTCTTCCCTTTTGGGGCCGTTTATTGCTTTTATTTGGTTATCGCGACCTCGTTGAAAGCGACTTCGGGCTGTTTGCAACCTCGTTGGAGCCGATGTACATTTACAAAGAGATATAGAGGAAAAAAATAAGGGATTAAATAATGCCTCGTTGGAGCTGACTTCTCGTTGAATGTGACCTCGTTGAATGCGGCATCCACTGTATTTGGTTCAATTTTGAGGAGTGAGTGGTTGGAGGGTGCCGTTTGCAAGTACCAACTTCTTTACTATTCGTCTGTCTGTCACTCTTTTCCCCACTCTAAATATTTAGCAATAATCGAGCCTATCATAGTTTTTTGTGCTACTGTTTATTAACTCAAGAGTTATTAGAAATCACTTTTTCCTTATTTAAGTATTTCTGAAGATCATGAAAGAGGACCGTATATGATTAAGTAGATAATAGTTTGTGTTTTGTTGTAGTTGCTAAAAGTACAGATTTGTCAGTTTTGCCATTTTCTTTTACTTCTTATATGGACCATGCCTTAGTGTTAGTAATAGCAAGTACAGTGGGGTCTTTGTAAATGGAACAAGTTCAAATTGAAACAACTTTCAATCAATTGAAAGTAAAATTCACATTTTTTCCCCCTTTCTTTTGAACAAAATTTATCAACCAAAAACCTAGCGAAACCAAAGAAAATCCACCAGTCCCGCAGATTTTGGTTTAAGTGGATTCCACTGTTGCTTTGGAAGGCAAGGAAAGGACTGATGTTTGGTTATAAATTAAATCTTCATGTGCATGTGAGTGTTTCAGTGCCAGTAGGTTTTTCAGATCCTCAATCTTTACTTACATGTACCTACTGTAGGTCAGGATGCCAGGTAGGTAAACTCTGGCACCTTTTGTATTTTCTGTACCCTCTCTGTTCAGCTGACTAAGCTGCTTTATCCTTAAATACTTACTATAAATTGGAGAGCAATGTCTTTACCACCCTCTTTTATGGCATTGAATCATGGAAGATGATCAACACCACCAGCAGCAAATTTGAAGTCTTCAAGAGATGCTACCTGCTAGACATACTAGGTGTCTTTTGGACAAGCACCGTCTCAAATGACGATTTAAACATGGGAACCTCCATTCATTCTATCAACCAGGAAGTCCAGAGAGATGGCATGGACAGTTACTGCACATGTTACTTGTCAACTACTGCTACAACTGATCTGTATTATAATTATTGGACCCCAAGTGGCTGTAGAGGAAGACTCAAGAAAATTTGGAGAAGAACAGCCAAGGCTGAAATGAAGAAACAAAAACGGACATGGACTCTCCTTGAGAATTTGGCAAAAGATGGGACCACATGTTGATCTTTAATGGAGAAGTAACTGAACATTGGTAGATGAAATTTTTGCATACTGAATTCGATTTAGAATTTTATTGATTTTTTTTCTTATATCACCAGGATCGTATCTCCGCCAGGTTGAGAAGGGAGATGCTACTGATCCCCCTTTCGGAGCAACTGCACCTGGAGATGAAAGTGAGGATGAAGAAGAATGCAGTGATGAATGTGATGGTAGCACTCAAGATGATGATGATGTGTCTGATGTTGACATTCCTGATAAAGCTGAACAGGCTAAGTTTTCCTGATGTCTGCGTTTTGGACAGTGTTTTTGTGCATCAATGCGTCTTCCATAAGTGTGGGGTACAAGTTTTTTATTATTCTTTTTTTCTTCTAAAAAAGATGGTCAATGAAATGAAAGAAGTAGTTGATCTAAAACAGAAATTCAGACTTAATACAGAAAAGATATGTGAGACGTGCTGATAGAATAAGTTACTTCTCGGATTTTGGCCATATACATAATATCAAATTAAGGTCAGCATAAACCCCCTAACACAAAAAGTCACAGAAGAGTATCATTATTGCTCTTTGCGGACTGAGAATACATACCTAATGGAAAAATTATGCAAAGTGGGTGAGAATATGTGAAAAGAAGGTGTTTATGGCCTAAAAACGTTGCAACATAGGCTCAAAAGGGCAAAAATCAGTTTTGTCAAGATTATTCAGAAAGTACTAATGCTATACCTTTCAAATTTTGCATTTATAGTGCAATAGCCCCAAAAAGTTAGCCTACCAGATTTATTAGAATAGGAGAACAGGTTTGAAAGTTTTGGCTGATTGAGTGATGATTTGACTCGTGAAACAAAGATTTAGGGTGGTAGGGATATTAAATCCGACCCTGAGAGGAATTGGTTGAATGTATTCATTTCTCTGAGGTAGGGAGTCTGCAGAAGAGATATATAAAGTTTGTTGCCAAATTTGGAGGTGTTTCATTGAGAACGTTCGGAGATATCTTTACAGATGTGTACAAAATTGTCTGAAAAGTAAATTTTGAGAATACGAACAAAAAAAAGGAAAAATTGATGATTTGAATAACTTGCACTTACCTTAGTGCCCCCCTGCTCGGTAGGAATCGTCAGTGAGGTTTTGCTGAGCTTGTAGGACCGCTTTGTTAGCTCTCATGGTCTTTGTTTCTTTTCTTGCCTGCAATTGAGCAGCTCTGATGCGAATCGCGTCAAACTCGGACAAAGCATCAGTGAGGTGGTGGCTGTTTCAACCAAAGTTAAAAAAAAATTGGAATTCTTCCCAGCTCTCTTGCATTGAAACAGACAACTGCATCTATCACAGCTATCTGGAGCCTCTCTCGTCCAACAAATTATGTTGTCTTGGGGCACCTTCCCCCAAATCATATTATGGAAAGCCTCATTGGCATTTTGAGTCACTCTGTGAAGGCACTAGCTGAGAAGACTATCACTGGCAAGTCTTCCAAGATCGGTTTAATTTCCTGACAAACAAAGCGTATTGCTCCTACGTAATGGCCCTGAATATGTTTCATGACGGCTTTTGTCAGTCTGCCTGCACCTCCAATCCCTTAAATTTTCTTCCCATTTTCCTCGTAGGTCTTGGTTTTGCATTCACTCACTTTATCTAGCAAATGTTTCCACATACGTTTTTGAATGTGACCTTGACTCTCAATCGTTTTCCGTTTTTGTGAATTTTTAAAGGATTTCATAGGTACAGTTACTTAACCCTATAGTGGGCAGATAACTGATAAGCCATGTCTACTGCACTGTTCCACTTCCTGCCCAGCTGACCTTGCCTTGTGTGTTTACATTATTTTGGCTTCTGGCAGCTTTGTCTAGGGTGGTTCAGGAAAACATTTATTTAAAATGTACTATACAATCTACAACTTTCAAATTTCCCATGACAACAGAGAAATGAATGCTCTATGACACTCTGTCATTTAAAAAGTGTTTTTTTTTGGTGTATTAGATTTATAGCACATTGATTCACACCTATAAGTGCAAATATGTTGTTATGTCACAATGTGGATATATATGACAAGCATTTGTACCTCTAAACCACAGTTTTTAAGATGCAGGACCACAGAATTTATAGTTCATCACCACCTGGGTGCTAAGTCATTGAATGGCTTTGAAAAATCCCAACCCATACCAAATAAAGAGCCAGATATACCCACGGCAGTGTCATCTTCACCGAGCAATAGTAATAATAGACTAGTTCATATTACATGATACCAGCTGGCCTTGTGGCATACCCAATCAAAGAACAACAATTACAATAAAATATAAAGTCAGAGAAAGAAAAACTAAGGATTGAAATAAAGGAAAAGTAAAAACCAACTTACAGTACAGTTCTTGCGAAGTCCACATATAAGAATTTCACAACACTATAAACTTTTTGCACACAACACCAATTCATATACTACACACATTGAAAAAAAAAAAAAATCAAAGTAAACTATAAAAATACAGCTGTGATAAAAAAATGTCACTCTCTCAGTGTTCTCGTAGAAGCCCTGTGGACGGAAAGACCGAGTTCATGGTACCTTCCAAAACATATGAGTTTGCAGGGGGCAACTTCACAAAATTTGCATTTGTAACTCGTTTCTACTGGACGGCCTTTTGGAGTTTTCCTCGCTTCTAAACTACACAAAACACACTGTTTAGGCCGCCCAACAATACGAGTGAAGTGATGCCGTTGGAAATTCTCCGGGGCCACAGTCCCCTGGCTAGTTGCAGGCCGTCCGGGGAGTTTCCTCGAGCTAAAACCATTGACCAGAGCCTCGGCAACATCCACACGGAAGCTCAAGTGATCATACCCCTTTGCTGCGACGTAGTCACGAGGAGTCTGGCTCCAACACATATAGGCATTATAAATGGAGGCGTTGATGAGGTGCCATACGATGTACCTCCACCATTTTTTGCCAGGTCTCCCAACGGGATAGTAAGAAAGTTGTTGGTCGAACTTGTCGACCCCACCCATGTACTTGTTGTAGTCGATAAGTGAGTGGGGCCGACCATCTGCTGCAACACCAGCAATCTGATTGGACGATAAAACACAAGTTGTTATCTTGTCATGGTATAACGTGGCAACAAGATTGCCCTTTTGAAGTTGCTTCACATCTCCCCTAGTTTTCAGTTTTGTCTTCATCAGTGGAGGGAGCCCTTTCCTGTTTGTCATGATGGTGCCACACATATATGTATTGTTTGCACACAAATGCACAGCGATGTCCACAGAATTAAAAAATCTGTCTATGTACACATGATGGCCTTTGTCGTAATACGACGTACACAGGCCATCCACCACTTCAAAGCCGAGAGGTTTCCGAGGATCCCTTCGGCTGCTTTTCCTCGTATAAATATCATACCCAAGACAGTATCCAGTTTTAGAGTCGCACACAGTCCAAATTTTAACCCCCTATTTAGTAGGCTCGGCAGGCATGTACTGCTTGAAGGACAACCTACCCTTGAACCCTACCATGCAATCGTCCACACTCAACTCCTTGCCAGCCTGAAGACAGGCTGTGAATGTTTCCTTTGTAGTGTTAATCACATTTCTCACTTTGAAGAGGGGATCGAAACCCTCCTCTCCACGTTGCGGCTGGTGCTGGTTGTCCCTGCAGTGGAAATACCTGCTGAGATCCTTGTGAAACGCTTGATCGGCACGATGGAGGAAACCCAAGGATCGTTGAAGCGACGGTCCTGCTCCAGTTACACCAGAGCCGAGGCAGCTGCCGAACGCCAAACATAATCTGGATGCCCAGGAAGGCTCTCATCTCCGCTGTAGTAGTTGCTGTCCAACTGCTGGCGTTCTCCGGTCCCAAACACTGCTGGGCGTACCGGTTCGTTTCTGCCACCAGGATGTTTATCAATGTCAGCGGAAACAGGAGGAGGAAGAAGTCCAGGGGGCAGGCGTTTCGGGCAAGGTCGTGCCGAGGCCCAGACTGAGGTTGAAAGTCCAGCATCGTAATGTCGGACACCTCTTCCCTCCATGCCGCACCTTGATTGTTTCCTTCAGTGGTAGCGGCAGCAGCACCACCATCACCAGCCTCAGGCTGCAGAAAAATAAAACAGTAGTAAACAGAAGATAAGACACAAGTAAAATAATTTTGTAATTGTCAGAGTGAAAGTATAGCAGTTGGCATAAAGAAAACAGCAAAAGTGAAAGAATGTTCAAAAAAGGTTGACCATGAACTCGACTGACTAACTAAATCTAGATCTAGTTCAAAGTGTGTAGTACTAGATCCAGGTGTAAGTTCTCATACAAAACAAAAGATACACCATGTACAATAGAATTGTAATAATTTAGTCATTCTGAAAGTAGAGCAGTCGCACAAATAAAAGCAAGTGAAAAAACAAAGAATGTTCGCCACAGAAAAGACTAGTTCAAAGTGTAGTACTAGATCTAGATCTAGATCTAGATCCAAGTACAAGTATAATGTTCGCAAAGAAAAAACTAAAGGTATAGATCTATAAATATAACCAATGTACGATGGAATTGTAATTGTCATTCTGAAGATAGAGCACTTGGCACAAAGTAAACAGTAGGCTTAGAATTCTAGTGAAAGAACAAAGAGCAAGAAAGTTGACCATGGAAGGCGGCTAGATTTAGGTCTTGAAAAAGATTCTAGACCCAGGTAATCTAGATATAAATAATATAATCTATGAACTATTAGAAACAACACATTCTCAACATGAGAACTAGGTCTAGATCTAAATGAAATTCAAGTGTAGCATTTCTAGGAATAGATGAAGCATCATGCTCCATAGCGAGCTGTTAGTTGACCTCTGTGTGTGCCTATCTCCAGTCCACCTCTCCCAGCACACAACAACAAAAAACTCACTTTTCACTTACCTCCTCATCAAATACAGCATCCTCCGTGTCTATAACATCAATGTCAGACTCAGCATCAAGCTCTCTGTCACTTCTTCTGTCTTCCTCCATCGTGCAGTGTTTTAAAAAAGCAGTAGATAGGTAGAGAACGTCTGTCGGAGCAGCTGATAGTCAGAGTCACGAAACAGCGGGTGTTTTGAAAGACGCGCAAACCGTTCAACCCCAGCTGTTTAGCTGTTTATTTGGACGGGAGGTATCCCATAATATCCTAGATGACATCATGACTATTTAAAGACACGGGAAGTCATTCTTTGTGGTTAAAAGTTAAATTGAATGCACGGGGGTGTGTCGTCCCGGTTTCTCACGGGTCGGCCGTGCAGCGCGGGGTCAGATCTCGCCCGGTTTCTCCCGGGTTAAACACGTAGCGCAGAGGGTTAACTCACTTGCGACTGGGCCCTTTCACCAGCCACAAGCGTTGAAGACTGGCGTTTTGGGGGGTATTTCAATAAATCACCACAACTCTCAGAATTACCCTATTGTAATCATTTTTTGACACAGTAAAGTAACATTCAAGCTTAATCTAATACAAAAAACTAAAGTTGTCTAAGTCTAATACTTTAATTTGTATGATTTTTAAAAAATTGGCATGAATTTGATTTTCGAAAAATTTCCAGAGACGTGACAAGTAGAATGAAATTCACTGCAACAACAAAAATAAAAGTTCAAAGTGTTCTGGTTTGATTTGTATACATGTGCAAGTGTTTGGTGAAAATATAAAAGCTGGTCTGTGCATTGATTCAGACCCATACACTGAATTACATGAGACAGATGTACGGCACGACGTTGTGATTTCGTTGCGCGAAAAACAACACCGGTACTAGTGCTAGATCTAGCCCTAGAACTACGACTCGGGCCGTGTTCGGGTACATATCCAGGATCCTAACTATTAGACACGTCATATTCTGAGACACTAGAACTAGTAAAACGCACAGAAGTATAGAAAACGGCGAAATTATGTGATTCTTGTTCATGCGACTTCTTCGACCGTTACTACGACGCGACTGTCGGATTACTATGAGCTGTATAGAAAAAAACAAAGCGCGAGTTCCGGTCTGTTCAACCCCAGTTGGGGTCACTGTCCTTCACCTTCAATAACTTAAAAACTACCGGCCCTAGAGATACGAAACGAAGTCTAAGTAGCTCAGGCTTGGCCAAACAAGGGTACGAGGCGGGTCTCGCGATCCGTGCGTGATTTGTAGAGCGAAAAAAAAATTCCAAAGTTGGTCACGCAGGGCTTGTGAGACCCGACGCGAGCGTCATGGCGGGGGTCACGCAACTGTTGTGTGACCCGTCTGAAGTGAGTTAAAGTAACATATTTTGACAACCATGCAAGATAGAATGATATATTACGCAGCAATGAATTCAGAATTGAATTTGCTTTCAAATGATGTGCTTTGGAACCATGGCAGAGGTATTTATATTTAGCTTTTGGACCACTTTTGTTTGAAATATTCTAAAAAATCTTATAAAATTTTGAACATGACACAGCCACAAAGAGACAAAAAGAAAGTGTTAAGGGGAGACGTACACTCTCGGAAAAATTTTCTAGACGAATGACTTTTATCCACTTTCATGTAATTGTGCAAATTCATAGGTAAATAGAATGTGTGACGGGTGAATTTGTTGACATTTCTGAAAAATGGGTCTCTGTGGCAGCCATCTTGGATTTTTAAACCAGTTTCCGAGTGCGGAACAATTTCATAGTAAATATTGGAATTTCAGCCTGAAATATGGCACACAAGTGTAAACTCATATAAACTGTGGATCTATATGGGGATCTTGCCCTATCTTCAAAAATAAAAACATGAGCCCAGAATCAGTGGACGCCCCCTCAGTCGATTTCCGAAAATTTGGGGCTTACGTTAATATTTCCAGAAGTAAGCAATATTTCCCAATTTCCTTTCACAGATCCCCAGAATACATCTTAAAGCTTCTGTAGTTGTTGAAGACTCCTTGCACATGTGTGAAAAAGCAGACTTTGAGAAAAACAAAAAACGATGTGAAATTGTCATATTTTAAAAACTACTGATGCTACAAGAATGTATCTGACATTTTTTAAATCAGTTTCCTTTTTTCTATTAGAATAAATAGACCCAATCAGGATATTGATCCATTTTTATAAGACATTGCTAGTTATAGGATACAACATATATAAAGAAAAAGTGACAAAAGGTTGAAAATTCCAAATTTATTTATCCTACACCTCTCAAAAGCCTCCAGAAACATATGACGGCCCTCTTTATTGTGCCTCAGCCTCTGCCTGTGCCCTCTGTGCTGCCACCTTTCTCACCTCACATTGTCTCTTCTCTGCCGTTTTCACTCGAAGTAAGTCTCGCCGAAACCCCATCTTCGTTGTTGAGAGCCCAACTCTGCACCCAATTGCATTTAGGAACATATGGGTTGCAGAGGAGCCCATATTATGCTCTCCAACTGCCATGAGCGTTGCTGTCACTACAGGCTTTAGTCCAGCAAGTTTATGCTTGTGACAGCGGGCCCAGATAACACTGTGAAGCGATTCATTGACATTTTGTGTTTTGCCAAGAAGGCAACGGCT